CTATACCCTCGTCTTGTAGACTTAATAAACTACGAGTATACAAGACTAACTAGTAAAATAACAACAACAAGTAATCTATTTATTCTTTGTATATATATATATATATATATATATATGCACTGAAAGTCAAGAAACACCACTTTTCAGCATTTCAATGAGAGAAAAAAACACAATAAAAGACGCATGTTTACAATACATGACTAACAGCTTCATGAGTAGGTAAACAATAATAACAATGTCTTTTGGTATCTTACCCGTGAGCTAGAACATTTTACGTATTTATTAGCACTCAAGTTTGTACCATGTTCGAGTGAAGATGTTGGCTAGAAAAATCTAGCTAAAATATTTAGTGTTTTAAAAAAACATGCAATGACCAAGATTATTATGAAACTTGGGAAAAATACATGCAAGTGATTTAACCTGGAAGAGATGGAACCGGCTGAGGTTGTTCTTCAGTTAAATAGCACATACATCTTAAAGTAATGTATCTACTTAGAAAAAACGAGAATGTAAATAAATAAACGATTTTTGTATATTGAAAACATTCAGATGTTTTAATCATCCTCCAATGTTAGTGTGAAAGATTTCCCACGAGTGAAAGCAAAGGGAAAACACTACACCTACAACATCCAGTGCCGAAGAGGCCTTTCACCCGTTACCAGGGCTCATCAGACCAGCTCAAATACAGTATTATTTATTTGAGCTGAAACCAGGTTCTATATAATATATACATTAAAAACAACATTTGAAAAAAATTTAACAAAATATCGAGTGGTAAAGCGACCTAAAACCTTGGGTAGCCGTACATCTACAAATATCTTACTTCTCAAATTGCTGTTCTGTAATCACTAAAAAGAGCAAGATTTACTATGATACACATAGAGAACTTGGGTTATACTTTCAAACGTTATGTTATTCAGTAAGTGCGATTAAGCGTGAACCCGACAGGGAAATTGTAACAACTTAAAAACAGGACAACTAATTCTAGTTTTAAAGATCAGCACTAAAGAACATAAACAATAGCAGCTCAGGTTCCTTCTAGGTTCATATTTCTGTGTATTTGCAAGAGATAAAGGTCCAAGAGACTGTTAAAGACATTAATTTTACACTTGAGTGTCTCAGTGGATAAGAAACCATAGGCAAAGGAACCTATTTTGACTTTTTTTAAGCACACATATATATTTGGCTTTATTAAATACAACTTCTGCCCCACCACACACACACACAAACGTGATTGTAGCCCTTTTTAAATTATATCACACATATATATATCATATGACTTTAATTTTTTAATTACCCTTTTTTTTTCGTCTGTTAGATCACTATCAGGTTTTAAGAACACTGAGAAAAACTACAATATTAAACAGTAATTTATGAAGGTCTGAAATTCAATCAGACTTCAAGTTTTAAAAAATTTCACACTTTATTACATTATTGTGTTTTATAATTCACGAATGTTTTACATTAAGTGCTCATTGATTCTATAATTCCCACCACGTGTTACGAATAACCACGTTTTCCTTGCACGTAACATAGTTCACATCACGTTTCTACCGTCCATTTACTATAACTTAACTTCACCTACTAAAAATGATGTTCTCTGACACACATCAAACGTCTCTTTCATCTTTAGCATTAATCTCGTTTATACACACACACACAAAAAAAGGAATCCTCGGTAATAACAAAGCTAGAGATTATTCTGAGTTGAATAGTCTTACGTTCGAAATCAAAACGAGATATTCAAGAAGTCTTTATAATATAAAACTCAAGGACAACAGGCAGTCTGTTGATCCATAGAGGCCGCTTAACACAAGGGGAAAAAAATCAAGCCCTGATCGTTTAAGTTTTTATCAAGCCTCCCCTCAAAGTTACTGAATCCACCACATCCAAAGGTGAACATTTCAAAGGCCAGCCACCCTGTTAGAAAAATAAAACTGATTTAAGCTGCAAGTGACTCCTACCCTACCACTAAAATTTATACTTGTACCCCTTTATCCTATCATTCCCACCATTAAAATATGTTAAATATTTGCTGTTTTGAAAGTTCTAGCAAAATTTCATTATTCTATATCTTCATATGCAATGAAACATCACACCAAATTGAATAATTATTGATATAGAGAAACTGTTGACAGGGTGGAAACTGGGCAACATTTGGGTATGAGTGATATAGAGAAACTGTTAACAGGGTGGAGACTGGGCAACATTTGGGTATGAGGGATATAGAGAAACTGTTGACAGGGTGGAGACTGGGCAACATTTGGGTACAAGGGATATAGAGAAACTTGACAGGGTCGAGACTGGGCAACATTTGCCTCATACCCAAATGTTGCCCAGTCTCCACCCTGTCAACAGTTTCTCTATATCCCTCGTACCCAAATGTTGCCCAGTCTCCACCCTGTCAACAGTTTCTCTATATCCCTCATACCCAAATGTTGCCCAGTCTCCACCCTGTCAACAGTTTCTCTATTGTAAGTTAACAACAGATCTGAAACAGCATTGTTTCTAGTAAGTTCACTGACCAATAGGTGAAGAAAACTAAGAACCTCCATCCCTCACAGTTAAATATAAAGTTTCTCAATCTATATCTCGAAAGTTAAAATACCCCAGCAGAATTATAACCTCGTTAACAGCTGTAATCTTGATCTGTTAACAGCTGTAATCTTGATCTCATTGTTAACAGCTGTAATCTTGATCTCATTGTACAGTTTCAGCTGTGTACACACTTTGTTTAAGAAAAAAAAACAATGATGAAATTTGAAATATCTCTAAATAATAACTTAAATAAATAAGGTGACATAATTCGCAAGAAATTTTATCTAATGAACAAAGCTGCCATTCACTCCACCTAGTGGTTAATTTGTTCAGCATTTGTGGTAACCATGAAATTAATTCACTCAGTTGCAACTTATTTCGAGAAGGGTTTACTTGCTGATTGGGTAGCACTACCCCCTTGATTGTGAAGTAACTCATGATTTCTAATAACTTCATCAGGCACTGTATCACACGAGCCTATCTTATTGCATGACATCCTCAGTTGAATCATTTCAGGTGAGATCTTAAGATATATTACATTCTTACTATTCATTAGTACAGACATCACTTTTACTGGACAATTCAATCACATCGTTCTGGCAACTACTTCAATTATGCAAATCATTAACTTTCTCTCCAGTGCACTGATCAACAGGCCATCGTTGCCAACTTGTATTCCGAGCTCTCACGAGTAAAGAAGTCTTCCAGTTTCCACTGCAAGGTTTCAAAGGTTGGCCTCTTCTGAGGATCTTTGTGCCAGCATTCAAGCATTATGTCGTACAACTTCGACGGGCACCCCGACGGGCAGGGCATGCGATATCCGTGCTCCACTTGGTGGAGAACTTCTGCATTGGTCATACCTGAAATCCAAAGAACTTTTCCTGTGATTACAATTCTCACACAATAAGTGAATTCTTACTACCCTAGAAGATGAGGGATAATATTAAACTGTAGTGGAAGTGATTGATTAGCAAATGTATACCAAACTTTCATTTCTGTGATGCGTGTTCAACTGCTGGTATAAATACTTTTCTAAACGTATAATGTGTCAATATAATATGAGAGTTATACTAATCAGTCACGTAAAGGGGAAGACAAACATGTAAAATTAAATAAACCATTCTTTAGAAAGTCCAGCAAAAAAATGTAAAAACATCAGAGTCTAAAAGGGTTAATGGATGAAATTACAGTGACGTGTTACTGGCCAAGTCCAGTGTGATGTTAGAACATCCACAGTGACATGTTACTGGCCAAGTCCAGTGTGATGTTAGAACATCTACAGTGATGTGTTACTGGTCAAGTCCAGTGTGATGTTAGAACATCTACAGTGATGTGTTACTAGCAAAGTCCAGTGTGATGTTAGAACATCTACAGTGATGTGTTACTGGTCAAGTCCAGTGTGATGTTACAACATCCACAGTGACATGTTACTGGCCAAATCCAGTGTGATGTTACAACATCTACAGTGATGTGTTACTGGTCAAGTCCAGTGTGATGTTAGAACATCTACAGTGATGTGTTACTGGCCAAGTCCAGTGTGATTTTACAATATCTACAGTGACATTTTACTGGCCAAGTCCAGTGTGATGTTACAACATCTACAGTGATGTGTTACTGGCCAAGTCCAGTGTGATGTTACATCTACAGTGATGTGTTACTGGCCAAGTCCAGTGGGATGTTAAAACATCTACAGTGATGTGTTACTAGCCAAGTCCAGTGTGATGTTACAATATCTACAGTGATGTGTTACTGGCCAAGTCCAGTGTGATGTTAGAACATCTACAGTGATGTGTTACTAGCCAAGTCCAGTGTGATGTTACAACATCCACAGTGACGTGTTACTGGCCAAGTCCAGTGTGATGTAACAACATCCACAGTGACGTGTTACTGGCCAAGTCCAGTGTGATGTTACAACATCCACAGTGACACGTTACTGACCAAGTCCAGTGTGATGTTACAATATCTACAGTGACGTGTTACTGGCCAAGTCCAGTGTGATGTAACAACATCCACAGTGACGTGTTACTGGCCAAGTCCAGTGTGATGTTACAACATCCACAGTGACACGTTACTGACCAAGTCCAGTGTGATGTTACAATATCTACAGTGATGTGTTACTGGCCAAGTCCAGTGTGATGTTAAAACATCTACAGTGACGTGTTACTGTTGGACATATGAGCACACACATTTACCATAGCAGGTCAGTGATATCAAAGGTCAAGATAACAAATTGGTTAATATCCTCACACCAGGTAAAGAGATTTTCAGGTTAGATTAGCAACAACAATCTTGAGTAAAAGTAATACAAATAGATAAAGTTTTCATCTTTACCAGAATAAGGAATCCTTCCGTAAGTGACCAGTTCTGTAAGTAAAATACCAAACGACCAGATGTCGGACTTAATGGAGAACTTGCTGTGGTTGGCAGCTTCGGGAGCTGTCCACTTGATGGGAAATCGTGCACCCACCCTTGCTTCGTATTCATTCTCCTGCCACACAGTAGTTAACATATATATTTGTTAAAAACATTACACTGTCTCAAAAATATTTTCCTTAACTAAGAAGGTTTCTCTGTTAATATATGTGTGTGAAGATTATTATTAAGTATTTGCTTTTAAGATATTAAATTTGGTCATTATCCTAAGTTTCTTTTTATTTCTCAAGCTACCCAAAACATTTTTCAATGTCTAATTTTACTTGGAAAAACACTGTTTTACTCACAAGTTGTATGTGGGTTAATTAACCATACTAGACACGATATTCAACTAACACCAGTTGTATCTGGGTTAATTAACCCTACTAAACACGATATTCAACTAACACCAGTTGTATCTGGGTTAATTAACCCTACTAAACACGATATTCAACTAACACCAGTTGTATCTGGGTTAATTAACCCTACTAGACACAATATTCAACTTACACAAAAGAAGAAAGACCACAAATATATACAATTTTCAAACAAGAAAACAAACAAAATACAATATTATAGTACTTTATTTTTGTGCGAGAAAATTTTTTCTTTTCACATAGAAAAGTTGGCAACCCTAAACAGTTGTTGAGTTTCATTTTATATGTGAGTGTGTGTGTGTATATATATATATATATATTACTTTAAACAGTTCTTGTGTTTTGTTTTATATGTATATATTTTCACTGATGAGTGTAAATTTCAATGACTACTTTTAGCATATCTTTAGAAATTAAAAAAAAAATCTACATTCTGTCAATGTTTCAGTAACATCCTCAGAAGGTTAGAACAACAGTGACACTCACCAAGATATCCTATGCTTATCTTGGTAATTTAAATTTTGCTTTTGCTTCAATTTTATAAGATCAAAGTAGTAGCATGACAAATGAAATCAATCTTCGTGCAACGAATCCTTCACTCTCTCGTACCTTAATCAGCCGAGCTAAGCCGAAATCCGCAATCTTCACCATGTTGTTTTCCCCGACAAGAATGTTCCTAGTGGCCAGATCTCTGTGGATGTAATTCTGGGACTCTAAGTAAGCCATGCCTGCAGCTATCTGAGCTGATATATCGATCAGCTGTGGAAGCTTCAAAACACGTCCCTTTCCTTCAAAAACACAAAAAATTGACAGCTTTATACACAGAACCTGTGTTATAAAAACCTTGACTGCACCCCTAAAAGTATCGTTTTCAGTTGTGTTAATTATAAATATTGATTTATTATGCAACACACACAACACATCTATGTATGGTCTGAAACAAAAAGCAGCAATTATATATGACCAATACATCTGCAAAAAATATCCTATCCATCAACACAATAGGATAAAGAAGGAAAAACTAAGCTGGTGCCAAAAATAACAAATTCTAACTTACTTTACGTTGTTATAAACTGTAGATATGAATTTTACCAGTTATTTTTTGGGGCTACATTTGCTTATTATCAATATATTTAATATTACAGAAGCATTTAACCCCCAAAAAATTTTTAAACTTAATTATCTGAGAACAATCTTGATGTCAACATAAACTTCTTAACCACAATAACATTATTCAACCTTTTGATATATGAATACACAAGTGTTTTTATACATCTATTCAATCTTTCAACTGCACATAACCAGCAAGTTGACTGTATTGCTTAGATTCCCATCAGTTCACGCTAAACTTGATTACCTTGAAGATATACCAGTAAACTACGATTCTTCATCAACTCAGTGACGATGTAAATCGGTTCTTCTAGCGTACATACAGCATAGAGCTGAACCAGCTTCGGGTGACGTAGCTTCTTCATGATTTGAGCTTCAGCAAGGAAGTCCTTGGGATCCATTGTACCTGTATATCATAAAAATCACTTTTAGGTTCAGCAAGGAAGTCCTTGGGATCCATTGTACCTGTATATCATAAAAATCACTTTTAGGTTCAGCAAGG